TGAGTTCTCTAGAAGCAGAGGAAACACTCTAAACATGTCTAACATCTTACTCCAGGTGTCGGCCATCTGTGGCTTCTCAGACCCTCTACTGTAGCTCAGAGATGCTAAATAAGTGACCAGTCTTTTAAAAATGTTAAGGGGATTATAAAATGAAAGCTTCAGGATTTTATCCTGCTGTTTTCATGCAATAAATGCAAATAAAATCCACAAAAAGCAACAATTATTAAGGATTTTTTATGAAGTCATTTTATTAAAAAGTTGAATGTCTGAATTAGAAAAAATAAGAAACCTAAAAACAAACATAAGTTATTTATTTTAGACCAACACTGCGTAACCTTTTACCAAAGTATTTGTTTAATTTCTGACTTCATAAATGTTATTTCAGGTCAGTATTCAATGCTGAATAGGTCATGTGCCACAACCCCTGCCTTTAGTGGAAGGGGAAGTAGCGCCATTCCTCAGGTCTGTCGCAACTGATCGCTGCAATTCTACTTAATCAGAGTTGATCCACTGAAAGATTTGTTTACTAAAGCGTCCCAAAATCACTGGCTGCTTTCCTCCTCTGTTATAGTTTTTTTTTTTTTTTGCTTTAAATCCATGTCAATTAAGCAGATATTTTATGAATTAAAGCAGACTTTGGATTTTATTTCCTTGACTTTTATGTAATATAAAGATCTGATCATGTTAGGCTACAGCTGTGATAAATATGACCTTTAAATCGAAAAAAAAAAAAACCTAAAATATGTCCGCTCAGTTATCTATGTTGGGAAAAAAAGAGGAGGCACAGGGAACGCTGGTAGAACTGGTTAAAGATACACTTTGCTGGTTTATTGGTCTATTAAAGGCCTATAAGTACACCACTGTACTAAGTGATTGGAGTCCAACTGTGAGGAGACGCTCTACTATGAAAACGCTTCCTTTGAAAATGGTGTCTGAAAAACCACGGTGAGTTTACGATGCTCTCACTTCCAGTGGAACCCAGCCATCAGAGTGCGATCTTAACCCCCCTAAACACAGCTAACTAAGATAAAATGTGTTGTTAGCCAACAACACAGATTAGACCCTTGCCTGATTGGGAATATTTTTGATTCGCTGATGTAGGATTTAATTTAGACTTTACCAGTAACTCCATGGATCCAAACTGGTCTGCTATTGGATTCCAAAACACAGAGGGAGACTGCTTCATTTAGAGTGCCAAACTTCCACCCCCCCTAGTGGCTAAAAGTTACAAAGTGTTTAATGCTACTTTCACACCGGACTTAGCAGGCGCGGCAGAAGCAGCGAGTTTACATGCAAAGTCAATGGTTGACGCGCGTCAAGGCGCAGCAAAAGGTCCCGCAGCGCGTTTTGAGCAGCAGGCGCAGTGCGTCTGAGCAGCAGGAGCAGCGCGTCTGAGCAGCAGGAGCAGCGTGTCTGAGCAGCAGGAGCAGCGTGTCTGAGCAGCAGGAGCAGCGTGTCTGAGCAGCAGGAGCAGCGTGCCGGGAGCGTTTAAGCATCTGCCCACGCGACGTGCTGCTGCTCGAGATGGAAAAATTTAACTTTTGCTGCTCGACGCGCCGCATCTACCAATCAGAGAAGCTAATCTGGGAGCTGTCAGAGAGACAGACACATCGCTGATGATACAGAGCGCTGTGATCACTCCTCTGAAACAGTTTATTGACGCCTAAATTAACTTAAAATGCTAAAACCTGCCGACAGAATATGTTTGCTTTTATAATCCTGGTGCCTGCAGTTTGGATTACATTCATGAAAACCACCTTCCAGCCACCGCGGCGAACCGCAAGGAGGCGACCGGGCCAGAGGCTGCTGTTGAATGGGATTCCTA